AAAGGCATCACCTGGTGTCAACTGCTAGCATTCTTCCAGGAAGATGCCGTGTATTTCCAGCATCAGATAGCTGAACATGTGTGACGGGAAGAAACCTGCATTGATGAATATAGAAAGGAGGAGGAAGCTGAGCAGAGAAGAATTCTTGAACTTCACAATTTCAGTAGCAGCCAACTCAAATATTTCCCCTTTGAATCATAGAAAGTGGTAGTTGTGACAATAGGCGGTCATTGAATTTCAATAGCATATTGCTCAAGACCAACAAATAACCAAGGAAAGGGCAGACAAAGCAAACCTGTGCATTTCATTGCAAAATGCAAGCAATGTCAGCTTCCCAGAATCAGATATAACAACCAAAAGGTCTTTACCCCACATCTGTGGAACAAAGAAGGACCAAATAAGATTCAACATTGGTGGAGAAAATAATCTCAACAACTGCTTACATCCAACATACATGGTTGGTTTTCAAGAAATCAAGCAGCTTATTATCAGCTCTTGGTTAGTTAAGTCAATAAGAAGTTTCACTGCACACACCTTTCGATCTCGCGCATGAAAATTCCCGTTCCAGGGTAAGATGGCCAGGTCTTTAATCGTACCGAAAACAGGCTGATCACAGATAGATTGTACAACCCCATCCTCGCCAATTACTACCAACTCTATCGACGCTTCCTGAAAGTACAAATCAATAGCAGCAGCATGATACCAATACCAATCCAACAACACTGGTTATAACAAAAGCGTGAAATAGCGGGATTAAGCCAGTTATGCGAAAGGGAAGAAGTCCGTTCCAACTTCCAACTTCCGACAAACACCATGCAAGAGATATCCGGATTTTACATTCTTAATTAAGGAGAAGTATTCATACAAGAAACAAATTATACAAAGGACAATTTTTTAACAATCAGTCGATTCTCCCAGTCACCACTTTCTTCCTATAGCATAGTCACAAGCAGTACAGAGTGTGCCAGCAATGAATTAAAAGTTTTAAAAGGTCCCAGTCGAAGCCAAAATTAACGAAATGAGGAAAAAGAAATACTCGAGAGGTTCCATCTCCAAGGCCAAACCTAAACCCACCAACGAAATGAAAGTCTGATTTGAATAGTGGCACCGGGAAATTTAACAAATGAACTCTGTTAAAAGAAGAACAAGGATATAAAAGAAGAACCTTGCCAAAGACAACGTCCTTGGAGGAGGAGGAACGGATGCGACCATATAGGACCTGAAGAACGACACTTCCTCTGAGAACGCACTTGGCAAGGTAGTGGGCGGTGCTGGAGGAAGACGATGAGGGCCCGCACTTAGCAGACGAACACTCTTCCTCCGAAACAGCCATTGGCAATAACTTAGAGCTTCAAGTGTGCGGTGTTTAGGTTAATCTTAATGCTTGGTTTCCGAGAAAACTAAGAGGAAGACAGCTTTGACTGGCGTTTGATGGTTCCTCTTGCTTCCATTGGAACACTAAAGACGTATCCTACATCTTGTAGGAGGCAACGAGAAGACTTGAAAAGTGCTTCGCATTTCTCATCCAGGCGAGATGGGGAGAATCATTGATGCATACACCACCGGTTTTCCATTTTTGTAATTTATTCTCTACTAGGACACGTTAATTCTAATACTTTTCTCGTCTTTAATATTGATCTAATTATTAAGTTGATCTTAATTCTAATTATAAGAATTATTTATCATATTTATCAATTTTTTCTAAATCATTCCTATTGATACTCCTTCAATCATAATCAAATAAGACATAGAGGGAAGATATTAAAAAAAATGATCATGGTATTTTAAAAAAAATATATCATATTTCTTATAATTAATTAGTTAACCTAACTTCTTTAATCTAATCAAATTAGTTAAACAGGAATTATATTAAAGATTGGAGAAATACTATTATTTATAATTATAATTATTCAATCTGATTTATCTTGCGTGACACATAATGTGTTTCATAATTATCTAGGAGTTTAATATTAATTTCATTACTATAAACATCTTTGACATAGAAAATGTTATTAAAAAAATTAGTGCCTTGATATTTTAGTTGTGGGATCACAGGTTCTATAATTAGGACCGGAGGTAATATTACTAATTACTTTTACTAATATATCAATAACTAAACGTGGCTCTCATGCAAAGGTATGGGGATTAAGGAATCAAATACACTATTTCTGCCATCAAAATAATAATTTATGTTATTAGAATTGTTATATTTAAAATTTTAACAGCCAGATTTAAAGCATAAAAAATAGAAGGAAAAATTAACAACTTCTCAAGTTTAATTTACTTTAATCAATTACCAGAGTTGTTTGTCACTGTTCGCTGTCGGGTGTTCACTTTAAACTCGCCGCCATTTTCCCTTTATCCGCATTTACTCATGGGAAAATGACATTGAGGTCCCATGGAGAACAAAATACAGCAAATAGGTCCCCTGAAATCTGATAATGTTTTTGAAGTCCCAAAGGGACTCAGATGCAATTTTCAGAATCTTCAAATGACTTATTTGCCCTTACTATGATTTCCCATTCGAAATTGCTTTGACTGAAAATTTGAAACCCTGTTTGTCGTTCGTTCGAAGAAACCGTCTGGCGCCTTCGTGCTGTTCGAAATCGTTCGTGCGAAGAATCCGGCCACAACCCACCGTGCTGCTTCAAATCTACTCACAACCCACCGAAAATCGTGACCGAAGTCCTTGAAAGCCTGTGGCGGTGGCTCTGTTTTGGTGGAGCGAAGTGAAGCATAGCGGAGCGAAGTGCTGGTGTTGGAAGCGAAGCGGAGCGAAGCGGAGCGAAGTGCTGGCGTCTCCGTTCATCGGTGTTTGAAGCAAAGTGGAGTTCGTCCTGGTGTTTGAAGAGAAGTAGAGCTCGTCCTGGCGGCGCTGTTGATCGGCGTTTGAAGCGAAGTGGAGGTCGTCGTTGTGGCACTGTTCATTTGCATTTGAAGCGAAGTCGAGCTTGTTGTGGTGGCTCCGTTGATCGGCATCAGAAGCGAAGTGAAGATCATCGTTGTGGCTGCGGTCATTTGCGTTTCAAGCGAAGAGGAGTCGTCCTGGTGGCTCCGTTGATCGGCGTCTGAAGCAGAGCTCCTATTCTCACAATTTCTTTTCGCACACAGAGGCATTGTCGACACTGAAGAAGGTAAAATCATATGAATCAGAAAAGCATGTCTTGGCAGTTTGTTGTTGCGTTTGATCATTGCTGAATATTTGCATCAAATACGGCTGGATGCTTTTGATTATGCTTGGCCCATGTTTTTTTTTCCCTTGACCATAAGATGGTATGCGTATTGGAGCATGTTTAAAACAATGATACATGATGAGGCATTAGCCTTCTAAAAGCACTTCCAAGAAGGCTTGTAAGAAGAATGATACATGATGAGATGAGGTATGAAATGCGTAAATGGTAAATAACTAGAATATGATAATATGGAAGAATCAGATTTGAGGCTGAATAATTGATGTGCCTTGTTTGGAGTTCAAAGTATTTGTCAAGATTGTTTGGTCTGTAATTGTTACTACTTTCCTTTTTGGGATTTCTATTATCATATTGATGATTGCGTGTGAATTATGCATGATGCAGCCTTTCATTTATTGGTGAAAAATTGAATCTTTTTATCACTAATTAAGCGTTTCATTTGTTGACATACTGAGAAACCTGGAAAAACCCCTCTTTTGGTATATCTTTCTGGAACTAGTTTGAGAAGTTTGCTGTGGTCTGAAAGAGTTGGGGTTCAGCATTTGAGCAGAATTGCCAGATGGGGAAGGATGCACAAAGAAGCAGTAATTTCTCCGGTTATGCCTTGTTTACGGAGGAATTCTACAAGAAAAGCTCAAAGAAGTACAAATCACTTGAAGCAGGAAATGCACAAGTGAGAAAGGCATGGGATAAATTATCAGAACAACAAAGAGAGGAATATTGTGAAAGGGCTAAGGCACAAAGACCTCCCACCAAGTCCAAGAAGTATATTGTTCCTTTCTATACAAGATGTGCACCAAAACAATTCATGCAAGTTTGCAAGCACATCAAAGAAAGGAAGGAACTGATGGATAGGCTGAAAAAAATAGGGTTTGACAAGTTGGTTGAAGTGTGTTGTCACACAATTCAAAGAGAATTGTGTGGAGAGTTTATGTCTGCAGTTGATGTTGCATCAAACAACATTTCCATAAGAGGGAAGACAAGGAAAATGAGGGCAAAAGATGTGCATGAATTTCTGGGGCTACCATTTGACGGAGAAGAGATTAAAGTAGTTGTGAATAATGAAGATGAAGTGTTCAAGCAGTGGAGGATTGTGTATGGCAATATTCCATACAAGAAGATAGCATCATTGTTGACTGAGGAGAACCAAGATGAAAATTTTGAGGTGCTGTTTGTCATGTATGCATTGGGAACATTGTTATGTCCTAATGCAAGTATTTGTGTGGGTGATTATTTGTTGAAGGTAATACTATCAACAAAGGATAGATTGGATAAGTTTGATTGGTCCTCTTATGTGTTGCATGAACTATATAAGGGGATTGGAGTGTACAAGAAACAATTGGAAAAAGGCAAGTTGACTGAGAAGAAGAAGAATGTGCCAGGTTGTCTATACTTCCTAATGGTAAGTGCTACAATAATTTGTATATTTCTGTTGTCATTTGATGGTCTGAATGTTGTCAATGGTTGCTGTTAACTTATCATTCATGTCACATGCAGTTATATTGTCTACAAAATTTTCCATTGGGAGAAACAAAAGCTGCACATGTAAAGGATGCTGTTGCATATTGGGATGAAAAGAAAGTGCAGCAAAGAGTTAAGGAGGAGAAGGAAAGCAATCGAGGACTCTTGCATCCGGCAAAGCAATCTACCAAATTTGATCCTGAAAATTTAACTCACCCGGTATGTGGACTTGTGGGCTTAATGATTAATTTTTTGTTTTTCTACTGTTGCTTACTGTTCTGAATTTGATTTGTATAGGAGATCAAAAAGACATATACTCGATTAGTGTCTATGCTGGGGGAGGAAATGATGGCCCTTCAGTCAAGACTAATGGAGGGTAGTGGCAATGCAAGTGAAGAGGACAAAGATGAGGCAGAAGAATCTGAAGCAGAAGAGGAAAAAGTTGAGAAAGAAAGTGATTCAGAGGATGAGGAAGAAGATGACAGAAATGAAGAAGAAGAATCTGAATCACAAGATGATAGGAATGAAGAAGAAGAGCAAGAAGCTCAATCAGAAAAGGAGATGGGTGGACAAGAATCACATGACAAGGAAAAAAAAGAGGATGAAGAGGAAAAAGAGAAGGGAAATGAGGACAAAGAAGATGAAGAAGAAAATAAGAGAGAAGAAGAAGATGAAGAGGACAAAGAAGCGGATGAGGCCACCCAAGGGGAAGGGAGCGAACATGTGAGGAAATCTACAAGGGTGATAAGTAAGGGGAAAGCTCTTAGGTCTCCATTTCTGGAATTTAAAAGCAAGGCTGGGAAAAAGAGAACAATTGATGATAGGCAAGCTTTATTTGACATGTGCACAGCAAGGTGTAACCATGAGGAGCAAGAGCAGTAAGTATTATGTTTTGGTGACCAATTTTGTATTATGTTACAGAATTTACTGAATTTACTAACTTCATAATTGTTTCATTTGTGTTAGATACTTTGTATCGATGTATGGATACTTCCTAACCCGTGGTGAGTTGCAATGTCTCCAACGTAGAAGATGGATAAACGACAGGGTGAGTCACACGTACATAGTTAATATCAGAATGAGTTATTGCATGCTAAGGAGTTGTAATTTGTTTGTACTTGCAATTTCAGTTTATGACTATGGTGGCGAAGACATTCGTTGGAGATCAAAAGGAAAAAGATGGGCGAGTCAACCGTCATATATTTTCTGCAGATTTCATGCAGAAAATGGTGGCGAATCCTTTAAGGTGGAAATGGGAGGACCATGAAAAAGAAATATTACCTGAATATATTGGATACAATATCGGGGATTGCGATTTCATTTTTGGTCCTACTCTATTTGAAGATCATTGGTTTTGTTATGTTTTTGAGACAAAGACCATGACCTTCCACGCCCTTGACTCGTTGGTTGATAGCATCACATTCATGAGATTACAAGCCGAGGAAGAAGAAGCAAAGAAGAAGGGGGGTGAGCAACAACATGACGCAAAGAAGAAGAAAAAGAGGACAAGTAAAAGGCAGTTCGACCCCAAACAGTTCATGGCAACACAAACTGTGAGTAGTTATTTACAGCTTTTATACTTGTCAATGACTATTATAATTGTTAGTAGCAGTCTGCATAGTTGTCATTACATGCTCCGGTAGTTGTCACTGGATGCTATACTAGTTGTCACCGGATGATCTGTTACTTGTCACTGGATGCCATGCTAGTTGTCACTATATGCTCTGTCCCTTGTCACTACATGCTGTCGTAGTTGTCACTGGATGCTGTGCTAGTTGTCATTGCATGCTCTGGTAGTTGTCACTGGATGTTGTGCTTGGTGTCACTGGATGATTTGTTACTTGTCACTGGATGATATATTATTTGTTAGTTGTCACTGAATGATCTGTTACTTGTCACTGGATGATATATTAGTTGCCACTGGATGCCCTGTTAGTTGTCACCAGATGCTCTGTTAGTTTTCACTGGATGCTCTGTCCCTTGTCACTGGATGCTATGCTAGTTGTCACGGGATGCTCTGTTAGTTATCCCTAGATGCTGTAGTAGTTGTCATTGCATGCTCTGGTAGTTGTCACTAGATGCTTTGTTAGTTGTCACTGGATGCTCTGTCCCTTGTCACTACATGCTCTGTGAGTTGTCACTGGATGTTCTGTAGTTGTCACTGGATGTTCATTATGTGCGTGTGTGTTTTTTTCCAGATGAACTGTTTCCATTCGATGCTACGTGCTGTTAAGCCAGAATTGTTTGCCAATGAGGACGAAATTGACAACGAAGTGAAATGGGCTAAAGTCTATGTGCAGAATGATACGTAAGTGTAGATGTTCTGTTCGATTGTGTTATGTTGTTTTTGTTCACAATAACAATTGCAAGGCGCTAACATATTCAATTTGCTTGGTAGTGATTCATGTGGAGTTCATGTTATCTCTTGGCTACAAGAGTGGGATGGCACCGTTCGGGATGATGCAGGATATACAATGCCACGATACTCTAATGATGAGCTACAAGAGTTGAAGGTTGGCTGTTTGTGGTGGTTGGTGACCCATCCAAGTAATGAACATGGGAGTCAAGTGATGTCGATGCTATCGGACTACAACAAGACCAAGAAGAGGAGATAGAGTGGTCTATGAATTTTTTGTTCTCTTAGCCCATGATATGTGTTGTTAAGATGATTAGCAAATAGGTCATTTTGTAACAAACTGATCAGGTTATGTTTATAATATTATTACCTTTGTCATCACATTGTAATACTAATTTGTTAGGGTTTTATTACATTCTTAATTATCCAAAACAACGTCAGTTATCCAAAATAACAACTAATATAACAGGAGTTAATGACAAGTAATATAAGAATTTCATAACAAGTCACAGTGTTCCATTGACAAGTCACAGTGCACCATTGACAGGTCATGGTGCCCTATTGACAAGTCATAGTGCAACTATTGACAAGTCACGGTACTCCATTGACAAGTCACAATGCTCTCTTGACAGCGACCATTGACAAGGGACAAATGCACAAACAAGTCATAGTGCTCCATTGACAAGTCACAGTACCCCATTGACAGGTCATGGTGCCCTATTGACAAGTCATAGTGCAACCATTGACAAGTCACGGTACTCCATTGACAGGTCACAATGCTCTCTTGACAGCGACCATTGACAAGGGACAATGTTCACACAAACAAGTCATAGTGCTCCATTGACAAGTCACAGAGCTCCATTGACAAGTCATAGTGCAACCATTGACAAGTCATAGTGCAACCATTGACAAGTCACAGTGCTGTATTGACAAGTCACAAAGCTCCATTGATAAGTCATAGTGCTCCATTGACAAGGGACAGTGAAGCCATTAACAAGTCACAGTGCTGCATTGACAAGTCACAGAGCTCCATTGACAAGTAACCGGATAAACCATTGACAAGGGACAGTGTTGTTATTGACAAGCAACAGTGCTCCATTGACATGTCACAGAGCCACCACTGACAGGGGACAAGGGAGAGGTAAGTTTTTGACACTTCATTAATAATGATTATATATAACCATACAACCAAAATATAATATGACAAAGTGATTGTAAATATCTTTTCATGGTCAAAAAGGTTATGTTACTTGAATTCATGTTGTTGACAACTTACATCAGCAAATTCATTGACAAGTCGTAGTGCACTGATTGACAAGTCATTACAGGTCTAGTGACAACTCAGGGTGCAGGTAATGACAACTAAAATGACAGTACAATGTAACATGCCAATTCATAGCCAACTTTCATTTACACTTTCATATACATGAAACTACACCTATTTCACAACCCATCCCAAAAAAAACATAGGGGTTGCATGTCATAATGAAACTAACCAGTGGTGTGTATCCATTTACAAAAAATTTCCTTCACACCCATTTACAAAATATTCTCTTCACATCCATATACAAAAAATAGCTGACTTCAATATGTTCTCAGCTGGGATTTGGGTTCTTGCATGTCTTGGCAGTGTGTCCAGGCTCTTTGCATCTTCCACAATGATAAACCTTCTTATTTTGGAACTGAGATTCTATCCTATTAATCCTTGGCCTTCCTGGAGGCCTTTTGGTTATCGGTGGATGCAAGAATGTTTGGGTCAGCATATGACTCACAGTAGGTGCATCAGGCTGTGGGCAATCATGTGTTGCAATTGGCCTCATGCTATTTGCATATATTTTCTCCTGTGTGGACAATTTGTAACAATCATCTACATAATCATACACACTACGGTGAACTAGTTTGATTGCTGCACAAGCATGTGGACAAGGTATTCCACTCATTTGCCATGCCAAACATGTGCATCTGTGAGAAATCAGATCAACAGCAACATAGATGATGCGTCCCTCACGTATTGTCTGCACCGAAATATGGTCATCACCATAATATGTTGCCTCCATACACGCACCTCTTGCTATTTGTTCCGACAACTTTGATTCAATATTGGGTCCTACACCATTTTTCCAGCTTTTCATCCCCATTTTGCTAGCAACCATCTTCTTGGCCAACTTCTCTTGATGCTCTTGTATCAAAACCGGCAAGGCGTGCTTCCTTTCTTTCAACATCCATGCATTAAAAGACTCAGCAAGATTATTGGTGATGTTATCCCATCTCTTAAAAGGAAATTTACTTTGCGCCCATCTATCCACATCCCCATGAGATTCAACCCATTGTGCCAATTGAGGACAAAACAATCTTAAATTTCCCATTGCAACATTAAACTCATTATCATGCCTTGCATATGCAATTCCATCAAGTAAATTAAGTGCATTCTCCTTGTTATTTTCTGAGGTCCGTCTCACACCTCTATTGATTTTCACATACTGCGCACTATAATTTTCTTTCACATGTCGATAGCAAAAAGCATGTCTATCACCATCAAATATTGTCTTGACAGCACCGATAATAGCATTACTCCGATCTGAGACAATTGTCACTTGTGCTGATCTGGTTATTTCTTTCAGATTCTGTAGATACCAAGTCCATTCATCATTTGTTTCCCCGCTAACAATACCATATGCTAAAGGAAACAACTCATTGTCTGCATCAAATGCACAAGCTGATAATAAAGTTCCTTTGTAAGGACCACTCAAATGACATCCATCTATATAAATAATTGGTCTGCAACCTTCCACAAAGCCTTTAATTGAGCATCCATATGCAATGAATAGCCTCTCAAATCGGTTGCTATCTGAGCCTTCCCATCTTGCAACTGTGTCAGGATCAGTTTCCATGAGTCTCTCACACATCCAAGGGATTACCTTATAAGAATCTTCTACTCGACCATGTAATTCCATTACTGCTCTCTTCCTAACCCTATATGCTTGAGTATAGTTCAATTGCACTCCATATTCTTTATACAAGTCCTTTCTGATTTCATTAGGACTCTTGTCAACATTGCACCTCAAGTCATCAATCACAATCGAAGCAGCTAAATTTGACCTTCCTGAGTGAGGTACAATTAAGTTGTCCTGTGCATGATGAATGTGTTCACTTTTGTACGTTCTGATAGTTAAAAACTCAGTATCTTGATGTGCTCCCATTGAATATGCACCCATATACCATGGACAACCATCAACCTTGCACTTCACAATGATCTTTTGCTGATTATTCTTAATGAAAACGTACGAAAACTTCTGGCATAAGCTGTACTTGTATAATGTTTTCCGGAGAGTAGTGGCATTTGGAAATATTTGTCCTTCTCCAATAATCAAATCCTTCCATTTTGTGGAATTCATTTGTGGTGTAGGTGTTGGGATCATTTCAACAGCACAAGGAATTGATTGTGGCTCTCCAATCACATCAAATAAGGTAGGTGGAGACATAGACAATTCATTGACACCTCCAAATGATTGATCAATCCTGCAAAAATGGACAAGTCAGGGTGCATGTATTGACAAGTTGGTAGCAATACAGTAACAACTGACATACTAAGAAATCACAATAACAGTTTTCTTAAACTATACTTACACATCTTGCTCCTCCATTGTATTATCTCTTGTTGCTTCTATGTGGTCCTCATTTTCATTTTCTTCGACATACACATGACCACTTTCTTCATTGAACTTTATCAAATGTTCCACCCCATCATCATCTACCAACTCCACAAAAGTTTTTTTATCAAACACAACAGAGAATTTCAGAAGAAATGAGTTGCTTTCTTTTCCAGCAATTGATGATATAATTTCTTTCAATTCTTCATAACTTGTGCCCTCCTTTACATTGGTTGTTCTTACACTACCTCCCACATATCTCATATTATCTTCTCCATCATTTATAAACTTTCCCCCTATGTGAACAAAGCAAAATAGATGTTTTCCAGACGTAGTCGCCATCAGTAACTGAAACCTGCATCAACCAGCACGCAACTGTCATTGACAACTTAAGGAGCTACATTGACAAGTGTAGCGGCACACATTGACAACAATCGCGGCCTGATTGACAACACAATCCCATTTCGTGCTAAGGGTTTCTACCCTCACTAACCTTCATCTTTTTCTTCCTTTGCCACTGAACTAGCATCAGAACAAAGGAAAACCACCCAAAAACAACCCAAAAACAGAGCACCCATTATCATTCTACACACCCAACTTAAATCACAACACACACCAACAAAAAACACAGCTTTTCCATTCATTAACATCTGAATCCTAAACCAAAAACACAAGCTTTGAAATACCATCAGTAACTGAAACCTGCATCAACCAGCACGCAACTGTCATTGACAACTTAAGGAGCTACATTGACAAGTGTAGCGGCACACATTGACAACAATCGCGGCCTGATTGACAACACAATCCCATTTCGTGCTAAGGGTTTCTACCCTCACTAACCTTCATCTTTTTCTTCCTTTGCCACTGAACTAGCATCAGAACAAAGGAAAACCACCCAAAAACAACCCAAAAACAGAGCACCCATTATCATTCTACACACCCAACTTAAATCACAACACACACCAACAAAAAACACAGCTTTTCCATTCATTAACATCTGAATCCTAAACCAAAAACACAAGCTTTGAAATACCATCAGTAACTGAAACCTGCATCAACCAGCACGCAACTGTCATTGACAACTTAAGGAGCTACATTGACAAGTGTAGCGGCACACATTGACAACAATCGCGGCCTGATTGACAACACAATCCCATTTCGTGCTAAGGGTTTCTACCCTCACTAACCTTCATCTTTTTCTTCCTTTGCCACTGAACTAGCATCAGAACACAGGAAAACCACCCAAAAACAACCCAAAAACAGAGCACCCATTATCATTCTACACACCCAACTTAAATCACAACACACACCAAAAAACCACAGCTTTTCCATTCATTAACATCTGAATCCTAAACCAAAAACAAAAGCTTTGAAATACCATCAGTAACTCAAACCTCTATCAACCAGCACGCAACTGTCATTGACAACTTAAGGAGCTACATTGACAAGTGTAGCGGCACACATTGATAACAATCGCGGCCTGATTGACAACACAATCCCATTTCGTGCTAAGGGTTTCTACCCTCACTAACCTTCATCTTTTTCTTCCTTTGCCACTGAACTAGCATCAGAACAGAGCAAAACCACCCACAAGCAACTCAAAAACAGAGCACCCATGATTATCCTACACACCCAACTTAAATCACCAACACACACCAACCAAAAACACAGCTTTTCTATTGATTAACTTGTGAATCCCATTTCCAAAACCACCCACAAGTAACCCAAAAACACAAAAACGATTTTTTCATTTCCCATTTCCAAACAAAAGCACAATCTGTCAAGAAAGGTAGGAGAGAAGAGGAAAGAAAGTTTCACACCTGAAAGTTTGTGGAGATTCACATGGAAATTCATCATCAATGGCTGCTTCCCTCTTTCCCAATGTCTTCTTTCTCAAGCATATTGCGCGGGAAGTCTCACCCAGAATGAAATGCTGCTGCTTCGTTTCTGATGGCTTAGGGCAGGGCAAGAAAGTAATTTACAGATTCTGAAAATTGCATCTAAGTCCCTTTGGGACTTCAGAAAAATTATGACATTTCAGGGGACCTTTTTGCTGTATTTTGTTCTCCATGGGACCTCAATGTCATTTTCCCTTTACTCATTTACTCCCTTCTTGTCGATGGATTTTACTTTGAAATTTTAGATTTGAATATTTGATTAGGAAGCTAATGTAAGCACTGACCTTTCAACTCTAATTCCTTGGATTCCAAAATCCACAATACTATCATCACTCCTTAATATACAAACTAGTTGATTAATTTGAATAAATTAAGAAATTTTTGTTAAGTTAGTTACACTATTGTCAATCATGCGTATTAGTTAAAACTACTATTTGATGAAACTATTTAACATGTACAACCAGTATAAAGATTATTTAGAAAGAAATGGATAAATATGAGAAACATAATGAATATAGTAAACTACCATTTTTTAATCATGCGTATTAGCTAAAACTACTATTTCATGAAACTATTTAACATATACAACTACTATAAGGACTACTTTAAAAAAAAAAAAGAATAAATATGATAAACATAGTGAACTAAGGCCTTACATTTAAGATTAAATTGAATTTCAAACTAACTCTTATATTGAGGATCAAATATAGTATTTAGAAGTTATATTGTTCGTGTAAGCACAAAAATTGTACAGAGAATCAGAGGCATGCTTAAGAGGGGGAAAAAAATAAGACATATCAAGAGATCTCTTCAAAACTCATAATTCAATGTGGCTGTTGATTTGGAAAAGAAAATGATAGATTATCTTACCCAAAGAAGCGGATCATTTGTTGCCGGGACTGTTACCTTAGAAGGTGAAAGATTGGATCACTCGTTTGCTGTCATTCATGTTTTGCTTATGACTTCACAAGTTCGGAAAGAAACTTGTTTAGGAGATATTTGGATAGAAATAAAATCATAATTTTAAAAGTGTTTTTATCTTATACGAAGTAAATATGTGAAAAAATTTGTCTCAATTTGAAAAAATACTCTTCAAAAACATTTTTTGGAATTAGTCATGCTTCAGAAAGACTATTGAGCAAATCAGAAAAAGACAAAATAGATTATTTTTTTCGTTCAAGAGATGAAATTGGATGGGGTTTGGTGGCTGTGCAAGAGAAAAACACTTGCACAGACCTTGCTTAATCGTTGCGGCTAATGATCTATGATTGGCACCAATAATCTTATAACCTGGAAACATGCTGCCCGTGGAGTACGGCAATTTTTGAGGTTATGAAGGAAATGCACTTTTGAATGTGAAGCCCCCCAGTGTCAAATTCAAGACCCTTTTTGTTTCGGTTACCCTGTTTTTGATCTATCGTTTTCCAAGATGAAAAATGGGGTGCAATTGAATATCCTATTTGATTCAATAAGACCGCCGATTACACCGATTCTGTCAATGTGCTAATGCTCTTGCTAGGTTTTCTTCATTCCAGTGGCTCCTCTTTTTGTGTTTTTAATAACTTCCCTCTTCCTCGACGTCTGAGGACGACAAAGGAGCAAGAAGATACTAACCCATGATTTCCGGAGGTTTATTTACTGGGGATTTGCAAGTCCTCTGCAGTGATGGGATGGAAATCGGGGAAAACGTGATGTCAGATACCTACAACGCCCTACAGGAACGTCAATGATGCAATCCAATCAAAATACACACAAAGACGGAAACAATGGAAGCAGCAATTTGCAGAGTATTGGAAATCAAGCATTTCTCACTGTGGCCCCAGACCCAATACAAAATAAGAATTACAAGTCAAAAATTAAAAACCTCAGTGGTCAAAATTCGATTGCGGTAAAGTAGCAGAATAAATAGAACTAAAAGATCCGGCTAATTTTAAACGCTACAGCATGAAACATGTACTCCAGTACAAGGCGCTTCTTTAAGAATTTAAGCACGAACTCCTTTAAGGCTAACCATACGAGTAGATGCGTCCACCTGGGCTCCTCTGAGTGCAGAACCCTGAGTTGTCCTCCCCGAGCCACCATACGCAGAGTCTTGATATCTCGTACTCTGATAGCCTCCACCTGCTCCTCTTCCTGTTCGGTCCCTTGTATAGGCATTTTGGCTCAATGTCAACGGCCTGCCGCCACCAATACTATATCCTGCACGTCCAGCACCACTGCCTTGCCTTGTCTGAGTAACTGACAAGTCTTGCCACCTACCACCAACAGTAGTTGTTGCTGCCGCAGCAGCAGCATAGTCCTGGCTATCTCGCCGCCTTAGGGGAAGATCCAATCCACCACCACCTATCCTTGCCTCTATTGCTCTTTCATTACTCTCTGCAAGGATAGATAACTTCTCCGTCAACTGGAATGCCAAAGCCTGCAGTCTAGAGTGGTTTACATCCTGGAAAATAATGCAGCCAGTTGGCTGATCCCAGCTCGCATGCAGCTCCTCATTTATCATCATCCTACTAACTAAGCTGTGGGTGTGAGGAACAGAGAGATCAAACATTTTTGTGAGTTGCTCAAGGCTCAAAGAGTCATATGATGAAGAGAAGGTAAAGAGGTAAGTCCTTAGTGCCTCCTCCTTGATTTTTTCCTTGAGCATTTCCAGCACCTTGTCATGATTTCTAACAAATTTCCAGACATCCAGCGACTTGATGATATCATAACTCTTATGGAAATCTCCCTTGCTAAGGGCCCTTGTAGCAGCCATGACATGATCTCTGACATTTTCAGGTGGACCTGTAAATGTTTGCTTCTCACTGACCTCAAGCAAGCGACGGAAAGTCTTACTAATAACTTTGCGCTTTGCATCATGGTCATTAGCTGCAATGTTAGGAACTTCCAGAAGCATAGCACATATAAGATGCACCGACTCCAGGAGCTCAAGGTTAATGTGCATATGATATGGCATCTGGCGTCTCCTTTCCAGCCTTTCCTGCAAGAGGAAGGAAAAAAGGTTAACTGTTGTGCTTCTTAAATGGTAATTATCATGATGCAACAATAGGAGCTAGACCAGATAAAAAGAAGTGGCAGGAAAATTGATTTGTCAGTAGTGAAGTAAACATTAAGTAGTATAAACAACAGATGACAGCACTCTTGTAATAAAAGCTTAAATATGAGGAGTGTTATATGAAAGTCTTGGAGAAGTGATGAAACTAATGCACGCCCACAATGAACTGATGATATCTTTTCAGATAGAAAATGGTACACGGTCATGATGGAAGTAAACAATCATTAAATATTTCCACCATTAGCACAGAAGATGACCATACACAGACATATATCATCTGCCCCCTGACAATTTTTATTGGCGGCTTAAGAGACCATCAAGACAACCTCATTCCCATAAAACCAAACTTAAGAATGATCAACTCTCAGTTTCCCAGCTTACAGTTCTCAAGTATCTTCTAGCTCAACTTCCTTCATAATGTCTATGAGGAATGTACATCACACAATTCAATCAAAGTCAGACTTATATCACGAGAAATTGATCCACAAAGCCCGTAAAATATTATATTACTGAATTGACAGGAATCTAAGGTGCACAAATTTATATATAACTGATAACACCACAAACATATAAATATCTCTCAGCATCTTTATTAGCCTCAACCTCTCAGCCAACACATTAAACCCAGCCTAACATTGCAACTGAGACATAACTCAGTTAAGACATTAGAACTACTACAAGAAAATCAAGAACCAATTACAAAAAGGAAAACCTAGGGAGAACTATCAGCATCACATTTAAAACTATAACGGGAAAAAAAATCAATATTGATATCATAAACACCATGGCGAAAATTTACATATAATAGTCACACTAACAAAATAATCATCTGAAAAAATGAACATGTTCAACACCTGCTCTGGAGTCTTCTCATGATAGCGACTTTGTGAGACACCTTGAGCTAGCAGCTCCTTCACCCTTCCACCAGAATATAATTCAGAGAGACAACCATGAGCCTCGAAAATCAGTCCAACCCGAAAAGCACAAAGACCTAGCTGGGACATAGCCCTGTTAAAAAGTATCTGTGTCGATATGTCCATATGCTGAACACTATCCTGCAAATGGCTCATAAGCAAAAGATCACGAGCAGTTGAGAACTCATCCAGAAGAGCATGGTGATATATATCACAAAGCATGGCACGTGCCTTCGTCCGCTCATCCCCATACTTGTATATGAGGGACACCAATAAGTCCATTAGTGTCCTACTATTCTCAGGGAAGGTAGGTTTTCGAGGAACAAGCTCAGGAGTTACAACAAATGCCGCAGGGGTCCTTGTATCCTCAAACCCCTTAGACTCATCATCCGCCTCTCCATTATTGTCATCTTCCAGTTCAGCCAATTTCCTCATGGCATCATAAACCTCCTGCGGTTTGTAATAGATGAGTTCAACACGTCTAAGGGCTACCTTTGATGAAGCCTTGAAATCTCCAACCCTTTCAAGATAATCCTGGACATTCTGAGCAAGAGCCAGAAAAATGGGCTCATCCCTGAGTCTCTCAACATACTCACGAGTATGGGGATCAATGCATTGCAAGCTCTTGAAAAACTCAGCATCAATTCTTTCAAGGAATGCAACTAAGTTGCCCCATACCCGGATTGGTCCACTATGGTCAGCGCCCTTCTGAGTTTCATTCTCATCAGGCTCCACGGTATCATCAACAACTATGTTTGGGTACTGCACAAGAATATCAAGAATGACCAGCATATTCTGCACGCATTTCTTCCACACATTAATAGGCATGTGCCCATTTAAACCAGGATTAACATCAAACTGAGCAGAAACGACACTGAAAAATATTTCCAGCTTCTGTGCAGGCGTTTTGGCAACTTTTGTTAAGAAGGTAAGCTGCTCAACCTGCTCAAACCTTCCAGTTCCCCTTCTGCCCCTAGCTGCCACAACCTCTTTAAACTTCTTGTTAACCATGTCCCATGAGATCTCACTAGGGTCTTTCATAAATTGCCTGTCCATAAGCCTGTCTTTCTTGCTAAGTTTATGGTCCCAAGGCGTATCAACTGCATCTGACTTCTCATCATCCTGATCGCCATCTTCAGAATCAGACTTTTGTATCTTATCAATCTCCTCAATTACCTCCTCCTCGCTTTCATCCTCATCCTCAGTCTCTTCTTCATCTTTGTCCTCCTCACTCTCAGGACTTTCTCTATATTTAGTAATCAAATCCTCATATTGCTTATTATTCTTCTTCAATTTCTGCTTCATTGAGTTCAGTGCTTTAGCATTACTACTACTCATCTTCTTTTTGGCATCCTTATTTGCCAAAGCCTGTGCCAGGAAGTCTTCCAACATCACAAGTGCCTTTATGTAAAGAGTAGGGACCTTCTCAGATTCAGTGACACGCATGACTTTCTCAAGTTGCTTGTTTATCTTATCAAAGCTCTCTTGCAAGCTCACCCAGTCATTAATCTTCATAGCATTCTTCATCTGGTCGATTGTGGATGACATCTCTTCAAATCGCTTGTCTTTTGCTGACCTGACAACACGCTTCTGATCATCAGAATCATCGCTATCACTCGCATTACCCTGCAAGTATCTGCTTTGAACAGTCTGGTTAGTAGATTCACCCACTACATTCTCAACATCTTCATCATAGTCACTCTCCTCCTCCTCGGAGTCACTAGCACCCTGCCATTGAAAAAACAATACACATGCATCAATAACAGTAGTAATATTCTTCAATTCCACGGGACAAGGAATCAACCAAGACGAGGTGATGAAACATAATTTTAATGACCTGTGTCCAGAATCTAGAAGCCATCCTTGGTCGGGGGCAACAAACAGCAAATGAAAACAACCAAGAATCTGCAATGACGATAACAATTAAGATCAGGTAATTACAGAAAACAGATAAATTAATAACAAGAGGTCACAAGAAAGTCTACAATGAGAACATTTAACCCATATGAGCATTGAAAATATAAACCATAAAGGGCCTCATCAGCGGACTAATAGCAATTAACCGGAAGCTATGATCAGTGGATAAAGAACATGCAATTAATTTCGCCAGCTCAAAAAACTACAGCTAATCAGCTATGTGTACCGGTTCGTGAGTGAACGCGATAGAATTTACCCAGTGCCCGTGCATTAGAGACAGAATCCTAGACATCAAGCAATTTACCCACCGAACGGCGCATAATCATCATAGATTACAAGCGACATCAATAAGTCTCACCAGACACTCTAATCGGAAAAAGGGCCTGGTGAAAGAACACATGAAACGGCACGGAAGTATGCCGTCCGGATTCTCAAAAAGCAGGGAAATTGCAAGTAACATTTGAGGCAACATCAAAACCCGATCGATTATCGTGTTCAGCAACAGAAAAAGGAACGTACCCCGGTTCTCGACTGCTAAGAACGTCACCTCACGACGGCCAGAGGAAGAACTGCAGTGATGAAGGAGCGATTCATAAACCTAGGGCAAGGAGAAGGCTTACCCTTTTAATGGGCCGAGGTTTGGGCCTGCTAACCATGGGGAAGACCCCGATGGTGGCGGAAAGCAGTTGCTGGGCTAGAATATCAAAAATTCTAAAGGGCACCGAGCCCATTATGTAATTAGTGCCCGCATTAATGGCCCGTTTAGTTCGTTGAATAATAAGTAATGAAATGTAATGCAATGTAAAGATAAGTACAACAAGCTTGTTTGGTTCAATATTAGGAATCTCAAAAAGATAAAAAATTTTATGCTAATTTTAATAACTGTAAAAATAAAAAAAAACTAAATTATCCTGATCACATTTTTTCCTTACCCCCTCCTTTTCATGATCTCCTCCTCCTCCTTCGTTGCTTTTGCCGTAATCAATGCCCAGAAACATGATTAGGGCAGGGTGATTTGGAATGATAGAAATAGAAATGGAATCATTGAATCATTATATGGAAGACAAAAGAAGAATCGAGATTGCAGCGACAAACAAGGTAGAGGGCCAAGTATTGCTATTAATGTGTCCTGTTGCCTTCTAATCCAAATGAAACCTTGTAGTCCAAATGAAAAGGGTCAGGTGCTGCAATTATCTAATTAATCCATTGCTTGGTGACTTGTAAGGCCAGAGAGGTTTGCTACTTAATGAGTCAAACATTGGCCACAACTCTTCTTTACTGCTGTTATTTTACCCACTTTTTTTAGTTTGCCTTTGTTCATTGTTTTCATTCGAAGTCGATTTCGTGAGGGGCATTTGCTGAGAATTTAGGATGAGTCTGCAAGATCTGCAGAGAAGGCCCAGGAGACTTGGTTCCCAAACTTAGTCATGGTGGTTGAGTAAGGAGGTTGATGGCACTGGCCAGCGGCAAAGTTGATGAATGAGAGGAGTTCAATAAGTACGAAAGGGTTTAATGAACAGCTGCGTACTCACCAAGGACGAAGTTATGGTGCCCACAATAATGAAGCTTGACCGCGGCAACAGAGAGGGAGGAGGACGACTGTGGATGTGCAATCAGGGAGACTATAAAAGAGGTGGGGGCAAATAATGTCTTTTTATCTTATTCCCACGTGTTGTAATCCTCATTCATATATCCTGCTAGTATAACCCCCTTCACACTACTTTAGATAATCAACTAAAACGCAATTCTCCTTATATTGCAAAAGGCAAACCAAACAATTGAGTCAGCACTCATATCATGATCACATGTAATCATGATTCTTATAGCCCAATCAAAAGTGCCACAAGACCTTGCACCGTAATAACCAAATATTTGAATTCTTATCGAGAGAGATGTCCACATCTAGTACCTGATAGTATTTCGAATAGAATTGTTTTTAACATTATGCTTTAGTAAAATAAAATTGACCGGAATGAGTAACTTATCTTCTTACCTAACTATTTTTCTATTGAAGACGGTCATAGTTCATGGCAAATTAAAAAAGGAAAAAAAAAAAAAGGAAGACAATCATATTCAGTTCTCGTCGTATTCGAATCAACACTAAATTTATAATATTAATATAACCAAAATAAAATTTATAATATTAATAACTGATCTCTACATATATGTTCTCAGTAAAAGCGCATATTTATATCCAGGTTATTAAAGATATTTAAATACAAAAGTTAACTTAAATTTAAAAGCAGGCCAGTAAAAAGAAATTTGGATAAAAAGAGCAGTTGGGATAAAAATAAAATGATAATGTTATTTATAAATTATATATCGTTAATATAATAATGTTCTTTATTTTTATACGAGAATAAACAGAAGAAAACCCATGAAAAGAGGAAAAAGAAAATGACAGTTTTCAACATTGTGATAGTATCCTCACTGAACCTTAGTGTAAATTTTTCTAACAATATATTAAAAAGTGAATTTAAATTTAAATTAACACAATGACAATGCAGAATTAAAGTCAAAATAGAATTATCTTATTGTTCTATTTTAAAATCAAAATATTTACTAGCATCATTTTTTGCCAACTTTACATAGCATGATATAAATAATAATTAAATGCTAATTTAGTTGATATCATTTAATGCCTAATTTGAATATGATCGTTTTAATAAGAAAATACCCGTATACTAGTTTTTTGAAGACGCTAATTCTATACTAGTAGTAGTTTTTTTTTTTTAGCTGAAATACAAGTAGTAGTTAAAATTAAAAAAATAGTATGTTTTACTACTCATTCTGGGCAATTTGATTGTTCTGGCCCAAAGTCTAATTGCTGCCACTAATTAGATCATGGGCTCCCAGCCCTTCTGTTTTCTCAGCATTCTTGACTTTCTGACTCTCCCTTCACCGTCGGCGTCCTTCCACATGGTCCACAGCAGGCCCAAGACTTTTCTCAGAGCCCATTAGAAGGGTTACTCTTCTCCTTGCCCTAGGTTTAGGAATCACTCCTTCAAAATTCAAAACGTCCGATCTCCTTCTTTGGCCGTCACGTGGCGACATTCTTAGTCAGTCAAGAACCAAGGTTTTGAGGTACGTTCCTTTTTCGCTGCTGAACGCGACAACTGATCGGGTTTTGATGTTGTCTGAGATGTTGTTTGCAATTTCCTTGCTTTTTAAGAATCCGGACTGCATACTTCCCTGCCGTTTCATGTGTTCTTTCCTTAGGCTTTTTTCCGATTGGAGTGTCTGTTGAGACTCATTGATGTCGCTTGTAATCTATGACGACTATGTGCCGTTCGGTGGGTAAATTGCTTGATTCTAGGATTCTGTGTTTAGTACACGGGCACTGGTTAAATTTTATCACGAACCGGGACGCGTAGCTGATTAGCTCTCGATGTTGGAGCTGGTGAAATTCATCGCATGCTCTTTGTCCACTGATCATGGCATCTGATTAATTGTTAATCCACTGATGAGGTCCTTTATGGTTTCAATTTTTTTAATCACTCATGAGTGACAATGTTCCCATTATAAAACCAACACCTTGGCTGGCATCCGTATTTTTCATAGAGAATATTTTCAGAACATCTAGAAAGAGATTCTTTAACCAGAAGGAATTCAGTGCAGATGTAGGATGCCTATCCAGAAGTTTTCGCAGCTCATGCATGATGAAATCATCAAAGATTTGACCTTTTCGAACTGTAACTCTCCTGTCATGTCCATTTTTATCAGTTCTCATCATCTTATTTTATTTATTTCAATTTCAATTCAATTTCAATGCCTCTATGAGCTGCTGGTTTTGTTTGTCTGAAATTTGAATAGCAATGATAACATGTATGTTGGGTTCTGTATTGCATCTGTTGTTGCCCCCATTATTATCCATCCCATTGATGCGATGTCACTGTTTTCATCCCATACCCATATCCCCATCTTTTTGTGACAGGAGTTTGTGTGAACAGGATGGAGTCTCAGGCGAAGCATGCTGTGGTTGTTAAAGTGATGGGACGCACTGGCTCCAGAGGGCAAGTGACTCAAGTTAGAGTCAAGTTTTTGGATGATCATAACCGTTATATTATGAGGAATGTGAAAGGACCTGTGAGAGAAGGAGACATTCTTACCTTACTTGAGTCTGAAAGGGAAGCTAGAAGACTTCGCTAGAGGGTTTCTCTCTGGTTTTTCCTTTTCTTATTTTGGATGCTCAAGATTTTACTATTTTCTCGTGGTAGATGATGGATGCCAGATCTATTGCATCCTTGGTTGTGAAAGATATTCGTACAACGACTGGGTTTAGATATTGTTGAGCCTCTGTTTGAAATTTCCTGTTTGGATTCGTTTGCCCTTTAATTATTGGATTAGTTTGGATCAGTTTGCCCGTTCTTCATCTAAGAATTCATTTGAATAAGCTAAGCATATTTTCTATCCATGCGTATGAAAATATAACCTCTTTTTTAATGAGATAACCCAAAATGTAATACAAATAAATTGGAAGTTATTTCTTATTAATGTCCCGTTTATAATTCATGATTGCTACGATTTAAAATTGAACGAGTTTAGGCCAAAAAAAGGGCAGGCCTAAGCTTTATTTTGTTTGTGCTTGTCATCTTCGCATGCCCATGATATTAGCCGGCCTGCGGCTCCTAATTGATTATGATAGGCAAGTGAACCGCTTTGATTCGGAGAACAACTTTTAAGCACCAGGTTAAAAACATTTAAGGATTATGTAGAGAAAATATATTTTATTCAAAACTAAGTTATTAATTCAACATAAGTTATTTATATAAATATATGCAAGTATCAAAATACTCCTGATTCTTAATATAAGAGTTAGTTGACTAATTTAAGTAGATTAAGAAAATTAGTTAAGTTAGTTATTTATAATAAATTTGTGTTATTTTTTTTCCTAAAATATCCTTGCTAATTAAGAGTATTGATAAAAACGATCATTATTATAAGGACTATTTCAGAAAAAAATGAATAAATATGAAAGATAGAGTGGATCGAGTTATTATATTTAAGATCAAAATAAAACTCAAATGATCTTTTATATTAAGAATGGAAGGTACAAAATTAAATTATTGTGCAACGCAAAAATGTATAATTAAAATCTATCTTAATTCATAGATGTCCATGTGTCATGCATGTATTTGTAATTGTTCTTTCACAAGGAGAATACAAAATAGACTTTTATATTTTAACTTAAAATTTTGCAATTAAAATAAATTTTGAACTTTTACTCATCGTAAAAGGATTTGCGAGCAGTGAGTTATGGTCCAAAAGAATCATCTCTGGAAAAATGCTAAAAAAACTGCTGAAATAGAAAAATTGTAAATTGGAATCCATGACAATATTAGTATTGGTTTTGATAATAATTTTTGTGAACAGATTCCTATGTGTAGTTTTTTTTATTTCAGCCATCTTTTTTTTTAGTGATTTTCCCATAATCTTTTTCTCCAATAATTTCTGAAATTATGTGCAAAATTGTTTATACTCAGCATGATTGAATGAGAGACACTGACACTCCTGTACTTGCTTAGCGATTTGAACTGATCACTCGTGCAACATACTACCTCCGGTCTTTAATATAAGACCCTGTTTGACTTTTAGTTTGGTCCTAATTATAAGACCCCAATCCATTTTGTCTCTCATATTTATACATTTTTTTTCAAGATAGTCCTTCTAATAATTATAGTTCTAACCAACACACTTAATTAGCAAGGATATTTTAGAAATGACAACACTTATTTGTTACAAATAACTAACTAAACTTACTTCCTTAATCTCCTCAAATTAATCAACTGGGTCTTATAATTAGGACCGGAGGTAGTATTTCATTTTATTTTTTAAGTTCAATAATCATGGTAAAATTTTCAGTCGCATAGTAATTTTTATCATGCGTATTTTCGAATTCAATAAAAAAATCTGGGCAGCAAAATTTGGATTTGAAATGATAAAATAAAAGACTAAAATTGAGATAATTTAAAATGAAATTAAGAAATTCAAAAATCACGGGAGAAATCCAAAAAACGTGTGATAAATCTGAAAGGAAGTTGTTGCCAATATGAACTAATTATCTCATGATCTAGAAGAAAATTTTTGGCTCTTTGATCACCCTCCCCCTCTTAGTTCAACAGGTGGAGGTTGATGAAAGATAAGCTTTCAGCTTTGTATTCCCTTTCTCTGTGATATGATATTCAGTTTTTCTTTTTAAAAAAAACTAATTATTGATCATTATCAATTACTACCTCTGGTCCTTAATATAAGATCTTATTTGAATTTTATTTCGATTCTAAATATAAGATCTCAATCTATTTTGTCTATCATATTTATGTATTTTTTTCAAGGTAGTTCTTCTAATAATGGTAGTTCTAGCCAATACACTTGATTAGTAATGATATTTTAAGAAACACAACACCAATTTAAAATAAATAACTAACTTAACTTTTTTTTAATCTCTTCAAATTAGTCAACTAGCTCTTATAATTAGAATCAGAAGAGAGTAGTAATAATTAATACTCCTCCGGTCCTAATTATAAGACCCAATTGACATATTTGAGGATATTAGGGAAGTAAGTTAAGTTGGTTATTTATAATAAATAAGTGTTGTTATTCCTAAAATATCCTTGCTAATTAAATATATTGGCTAAAACTATCATTATTAGAAGGATTATCTTAGAAAAAAAATGTATAAATATAAGAGACAAAATGGATTGGGGTCTTATAATTAGGACCAAATAAAAAGTCAAATGGGGTCTTATAATAAGGACCGGAGGAGTATTAATATTGAAACAAGAAAGAAAAAACAGAGACAGGTGACAATGGGCCATCCAGGCCCAGCAATATGTTCTGAGATTTTAATACTGATCCGGCCCTGGCAAGGGGGGGAAAAAAACACTATTGGGCGCATACGAGCCCTTTTTTTTTTTTCCCGTGGGAAAAAAGATTGGTTTATGCGTTTAGGGTTTTGATCTCAAATCTCAGTATAAATAAAACCCGGACGCAGGGTTTTCCGCTCATACACAGTTGTCCCGCCAGGGCTTCAAAGCATAGCCGCCTAGTGAGCTGTGTCCGCTTTATCCCTTGAGCTCTTCCATTTCTTTCTCCCTCGCTTTCCTTATCTCGTTCCAATTATTTAAACAGTCATGGCTGCTGCGGTGGCAATTCCTCCTGAAGCTACCACGAGTGTAGACCCGACACAGATCGAGGTGAAGCTCTTTAACAGGTGGACGTTCGACGATGTTCAGGTATCTTTTTTGACTTGACGTTTTTCTATACACAATCATCTACCTACATTGTTCTTCTCAAGGTCCCCTACTCTTGTTCCGCTGCACTGCTGGACTTACCTGCTATGTTATTCATATTTTACTTATTGAATTTGATTGATCGAGATGTTCCCCCCCCGGGGGGATTTATGGCCATTTGTTGTTGGCTGATTGTGTAAGGATCAAGTTAGGATCGTATTAGATCCTGCATTTCTTTCATCAATATTTTATTCCGCTGAAGCTACGGGTTTTAGAAACGATCTTCATGTTGTTTTATAATCAGTTGATACGATCGTCGAATTGTTAATGGATACACGATACTGGTGCTGTCTTGCCAATTCTTTTTAAACTAATAATAATGTTCCCTGCATCAATAAATGGCCAGTCAATTGATACTTGCTGTTAGAAGTCAGCAGCGTTTCTGGTTACTACGGCGCCGTACTTCGTATTGGTTATTTAGCTATTTTTTATTTTTTTTCCAGGTTAATGATATCTCTTTGGCTGATTATATTGGAGTGGCCGCATCCAAGCATGCAACATACGTCCCTCACACTGCTGGTAGGTACTCAGTCAAGCGATTCAGGAAAGCACAGTGTCCAATAGTTGAGAGGCTTACTAATTCTCTCATGATGCATGGTAGAAACAATGGGAAGAAGTTAATGGCCGTGAGGATTGTTAAACATGCCATGGAAATTATCCACCTTCTGACTGATCAGAATCCAATTCAAGTTATTGTTGATGCTGTGATTAACAGGTATTTGAGCATCTTGGTGTATGATCATCTTCGGTTGGCTTAATATTGATGACTCGTGATCATTTCTTCGACACTATTTTTGTACATGTGTCATGGATGACAGTTCAGATAAAAAATAAAAAATGACGTGATTTATTTGCATGTTATTCTTTTAGTATGATTGCTGCCAGATGGAAGCAATCTTGCATTGCATCTGTACCATCCGCTGTAACTTGATTGACTATGTTGTTATTAAACTGTATTTTGGGTTAATTCTGATGGATTAAACAATGATATTTAATGCTGTATTTTTTACCTTTATTATAATATTTGTCTATCAATGTTGGAGAATGCGATGATGATTATCTGTTTCCCTATTGGTTTGATTGCCTGGATGATGACATTGTTGTATTAGCTCTATATGATCATTCTCCTTGGGAGCTTTAATAGACTTTTTTGGTGGTTTATGCAGTATATATATGCAATCTGAAAACGAAATCTTTCTTGAGAAGTTTACAGTGGTCAAATTTTTTAAACTGTTGGAGAATGGAATGATGATTATTTGTTTCCCTATTGGTTTGATTGCCTGGATGATGGCATCTCTGTATTAGCTCTATCTGATCATTCTCCATATCTGCTTTGATACTTGGTATACATTTATTATTTCTAATTACAGGTGTAATTAAATAGTTGCAGTTTGAAATAAAACCTGTTCCCAAGGTGATGCTATGACACAAGCTTTGTTAATAATTGATGTATTTCGTAGTTCTAGTTTTTGGTGTTGTAATTGTTGAGTGATTGTTATCTTATTAGGCCTTTTTCCATGAGGAGTTTGTTATCCTGTTCATGTACTTGTTATTGTGATGTGATTATCAACTACGTTTAGATTTTATAATATTGTGCACTACTTTTTGTGACCTTTGCTGCAATTCTATGTGCTATGTTTCGCACTACAAGTGTGATTCGTGTTATTAATAACTATGATTTATACTTGCTCTTCTGGTAGAAATGGAGAATGAAATGATGATCAATTGTTTCCCTATTGGTTTGATTGCCTGCATGATGGCACTTTTGTATTAGCTCTACCTGATCATTCTCCACACTTGCTTTTATATTTTTTCTCTTTTTTGGAAAATTATAATGCATTAAAGATGAGGATGTTATATAGGAAAAATTTTGATATTCTTTAAGCCACAATTTAGATATTGGGACCTACTTGTTCATTGGACCTGAGGAATGAAAATGATGATTAAGTGTTTCCCTATTGGTTTGATTGCCTAGATGATGGCATTTTGGTATTAGCTCTATCTGATCCATTCCTCTCGTTAAGACATGCATTTTTTTCTGTTTCTGTTCTTGGCATGCTTAGACCTTAGATTTGCAATTTGGAACCAGCAAGCATCTGTGATGGGCTTTTGATGGACTATATGAAATTGATTTGGGAATAATAATGTGAATTTGTATGATGGCCTATCTCTCTTTTTGTACGACAAAATGCGTGCAGGTTACTATATTATGTGGAGCATAAATATAGATCCGGACAGGAAATTTACTAAGCAGTGCTACACTGATAGAGCAGCTCTGCACCTGGATTTATTGTAACTTGATTATGTTTTTCCATCTTTGTTTAGCGGTCCTCGTGAAGACGCAACTCGAATTGGATCTGCTGGTGTTGTGAGGAGACAGGCTGTGGATATCTCACCTCTTCGCCGTGTTAATCAGGCCATCTATCTTCTAACTACCGGCGCCCGTGAAGCTGCTTTCAGAAATATAAAGACCATTGCTGAATGCTTGGCGGATGAACTTATCAATGCAGCAAAAGGGTCATCCAACAGCTATGCAATCAAGAAAAAGGACGAAATTGAAAGAGTTGCGAAGGCAAATCGCTAAGCAGCCTGTAGAATTAGTCTTCTTGATAATGATCCGTAGGATTTTGTCATGAGCTTCTTGGTAGTTAATCTATTGATATGGGCTAACGTAACGTTTATTTTTTTTGTTTATTATCATGGAGGGTTCGCCGTGTTGTTAACTATATATTTTACCTTGACGTAAAATCATGAAGTTTTGGAGCCTTTAGTATCGGTTTGCGGCCGGCACCGCGTACATGCCTGCCATCTCCAGTTTTGGAGCAATATTATATTGGTGTTAATTGTATAGATTTCCCCCACACCTATTTCTATACACGCGCACATACATACACAAGATTTAAACGCTAGATGGTCAGTCCTTTGATCTTTTCCAATAAAATATTGATTTTCCCTCGAATGAAACGATTGCTGTGGGGCTTAAGAGAAAAATATTATTATTAAAACGTGTTATTGAAAGCTAAAATATATTTTCAGGTCTTTAACTTTATATAAGATATTATTTTGGTTCCTTAATTTTAGAAAGTAAATTTTTAATCTTCTAATCACTGTTAATAAAAAATAATGATATTGAGTTGTTTAATGCTGATAAAATATTACTAAATACTGACATATTAAGTTTAATATTTAAAACAATTATAATTGTTACAAAAAATCATTATTCAAAACTAACAATTTTAGAGTTAAAGAATTAAAAGTAAATTTTTTAAGTTAAAAATCTAAAATGAAACCTTCTATAAAATTAAAAGACTAAAAGTATATTTTAGCCAAAATATTATTATATAGTAATTTTTCAAAAATATTCTTTATCATTTATTGTCTTATTTTCTTTTGAATTTTGATCAAGCATATATTCTGTCTTCAGCCCTGGTAAAAGCATGAGATGTGAGATGATTGATGATCAAAAGATGATTATTCCTCCAGTTTTAAATATAAGACTTATTTTGTAGTATAATATCTATTTTATAGTATAAATTATATTACAAAATAGGTCTTATATTTAGAACCGAAGAGTATGATCTAACGCGAGTTGCCGGAGCATGACAAATGATCTATGACGATATTCAAAGCTTGTGTGGTCCGGTTTTCTGGCCAAAACAAAGAAGAGCAGTGTGGCTGATTAATTTTTAAAAATTTTAAACAGTGTTTTGAAGTAAATAAATACAAAATATAAAATTTACTGATCATTCATATTGAAGCAAGTTTTTTGTTTAAAAAATTTGATGGGTTTCTTGTCATTTTGTTTTTTTGATTGATTTTATATCATAGTGCGGTTGAAATTTAAATATACTAACAGACGAGTATAAAACATAATCTTCATACTAAATAGGTATCATTTTTTTAAAAATACCTTGCTCATCAAGTATATCAGTTAGAATTATTGTTACTATAAGATTTTTTTTAAAAAAAAGATAAATATGAAAAACAAAGTTGATTGGGATTTATATTTAAGACCAAATTGAAAATCAAACTAATTCTCATATTAAGGAGTGACATAAACTCAAATTATATGTTAGAATTAGATCTTTGTAAAATATAAGAGTTAAGCTAAAATAACTAATTAATAATTACTATCTTCGGTTCTTAATATAAGAACTAGTTTGACTTTCAATTTAATCCTAAATATAAGACTCTGATTTATCTGTCTCTCATATTTATCATTCTTTTCCAAAGTAATCCTTGTAATAGTTACACATATTAAAGATTTTATAAAGTAATAGTTCTCATTAATATACATGATTAAAAAAAGTATTCTAAAAAGATAATATCTATTTATTACAACTAATTAACTTTAACAAACTTTCTTAATTTACTCAAATTTGTCAATTAGCTCTTGTATTAAGAATAGTAGTTATTTTTAAATTTTATATCTTTGCATATTTTTGCATTAATATGATATTATTTATCATTTATTGCGTCTAATTACTTTCACAAATTTTTATAACCAGTTATTTTCATAATTTATTTAAAGTACTTTACCAAAATAATAAAAAGATTTTTTTTTCAGATTCTGATTATTTTTTAAAAAAATTAAACATACATTATTAAATTTTATAAAAAAGCTAAAATTAAGAGAACATTATAAGTGCCATAGTTGGTTTTCGGATTTAAAAAGTCTTTAATAAATATAATTTTCTTTAGGTTTTTCCCTTTGATTTATTTTTTTACCTAATGACACGTATGTTTTTTTTAACCCAGAGATATGCATGCTTTAATGCATTATTCTTGTGGTCCAATTTATAAAGCAGAGAGAAAATTTTTTTTATCCTATGTATAGAAAAGTGAAAATTTTTTTATATGGACGTATAATTTTATCTTTTATTTATTATTGTGTTGATTTTATTTATATAAAATATAATATATATATCAAATAAAAATAAAATTAAAAAGTTATTAAATTTTGAATGAGAACTAACAAAATTTATGATTAAAACAGGGAAAATACAACTTTTGGTCCCTCAAAATTTAGGCCCATTTAGGTTTTGGTCCCTAAAATTTAAGACCAGAGGTATTGGTCCTTGGAATTTGCTCCATTACAAAATGTTAATCCCTGTAAATCATGTGCCGTTACAGCTTGCTGAGGTGGCACAAATGGTGTCAATTATGATGATTTGGCAACATGAGCTGATTAAGTGGCATAAGAGCTGGATATCTGATGTGGAAAATAAAAAAAGAAAAAGAAAAAGATGGCACCTGTTTAAAGAAAAAGCAGAGGACCCATGTTTAAAAAAAGACAAAAGACTTACATCAAACACTTGTGGAGGAGCAGAGGAAAATGATGACACATATGGAATAGAAGAAAGCAATGGGAAATGCGCTAGGTCAAAGAGACCCACACCTGCCGGCAAAGAGTGACGTGGCTATCATCCTGATATCAGCATTTCCAACAATGGTGGTGTAACAAAATTGAACCCACCTTTACTTCTTCAATCATTCGTTGAAAGGTGAAGAAGTTTTGTATATAGTTGATTAATCCATGTTTGAGAAAAGTAAGGAGTCAGTTGGGGAAGGGGAAGGATGGAAATGGTGATTGATCCATCAATTGCATATTTGATTTAGAGTTATCTGTTTTAGTTAGCCGTATAGTCGTTTATTGTTTCTGTTGTTTTCGTTAGATTTTAACCTATTTAACTACTTAGGTTTTTTATCCTATTCAGTATTGTGTCTTCGTGCATGTGCTGTTTTTAGTTTTTTCTCCAATATATATCCAAGAACTAATCTTCTCCAAAATATAAATTCAAAAACTAGTTTTCTCCAAAACAGAGCATGCATGAAGACACAATACTGAAGAGGATCAAAGATTGAAGCAGTTAAATAGGTTAAAATCTAACGAAAACAACAAAAACAATAAACGACTATACGACTAACTAAAGCAAACAACTCTAAATCAAACATGTAATTGATAAATCAATCACCATTCCCATCCTTCCTCTTCCCCAGCCGACTCCTTATTTTTCTCAAACATGGGTTAATCAACTATATATAAAACACACAATACTTCTTCACCTTTCAATGAAGAAGCAAACGGTGGGTTCGATTTTGTCGCACCACTGTTGTCGGAAATACTTCTATTTCGGTGACAGCCACGTCACTCTTTGTCGGCAGGTGCGGGTCCTCTTTGATCTAGCGCCTTTCCCACTGCTTTCTTCTATTCCGTATGCACCGTTGTTTTCCTCTGCTCCCCCACAAGTATCTGATGTGGGTCCTCTGTCTTTTTTCAACACACAGGTCATTTGCCTTTTTCTTTAAACATTGCCTTCTTTTTAAAAAAAAAAATTATTTTCCACATTAGATATCCAGCTCCCATGCCACTTAATCAGCTCATGTTGCCAAGTTAGAAGCCAAATCATCATAGCTAACACTGTTTGTGCTATCTCAGCAAACTGTAACTATACATGACTCTCAAAAACTAACATTTTGTAATGTAGTAAATTCCAGGAACTAATAACTTCGGTTTTAAATTTCGGACACCAAAACCCAATTGAGCCTAAATTTGAAGGGTCAAAAGTTGTATTCTTCCTTTTAAAACATGTCGGGGATCTCTTGTGAATACAGACGGACAAGAAAAGCAATCTCGGCCAAAGAGCAGATGCGTCTCCCACGCACGAGTAGAGCATGGATGAATAGATGATGCCATACTTTTGTAATCTCGTACACATATCCGTAACGAAGCCTAGTGCAGCTCTCAATTTCCACGTCCGTCGGTCCTCGAATTCCCCGGATTAGTACACAACCAACGAGGGACCCATCCAACTGTGGGGTGGTAAGTTGAGATCTGAACCTTTCCAGAAGTCCGTAACACAGTCAACCCCCAACTATCCCACATCTAAAGCCTGATTTTGTAAATTTGTATCTGTCAGAGCGCAGCCCCGCCGGCTTAAGTGGGAAGTTCCTTGCCAAGAGCCAAAATTATGAGACCCAATATAGTTGCTGAGGTATATATGGGATCCTCACTTCAATCCTTAGTTCTTGCATTCTTGGATCGTGCGTTCTTTCTTATGATAATTTTCAACGCTAATGAATTATTGGGGGAAAACCCTAACTTCCTGCTTGTTTCTCGCGAAAATGTGCGAGGGAGGAAAGAAATTATGGATCCGAGTCCGAAGTTTGCTTAATTATTAATTAACTACTAATTTTTGTTCGGGATTCACAAGTTCTACTGTCCGCTGCTGTTGCATGGGTAGATAGCAATTGAATTCCTTCCTTCCCCTTCCATTTATTGTCTGATTAATTCACCGTAATGGCATTCTTTACACAGGCAGGCGTGCCTGCTAGGTTGAATCAGTGGTGGGGAAGCGTCCCATTTCTCACTTCTTCAGTGGTGGTTGTTTGCGGAATAATTTACTTAGTTTGTCTTTTGACTGGATATGATTCCTTCATTGAGATATGCTTTTTGCCATCTGCTATTGTATCGCGGTTCCAAGGTATGCCTTCTTGAACTAATATCCTTTTAGACTGCGTATAGAATTTATTTTTGAATGCTTTTACTGTATAACACCGTTTAATAGCATTTCTTAATCCAGGCTAATGCATTCCGTTGTTCTTCTTTCCTGATAGGGATATTCATTTTTGTCTGCAAAACGTCAACATTCAAATTCGGAATTTTTCATTACCTTGGGACTTTCTAATTATTTGTTTTGACATTTTTTTGGCTGCACTTCATGGATAAATTTTTGACTTTTCATCTTGATAGAGGTATATGGGAAAGCATTTTAGATAGATGATCTAAGTCCCTTAAATTGATATTCTGTGCTTGGGGGTGGGGAGCAGAGGTTTATCAGATTTTCT